CCACATCTCCTCAGACTTGACATGGTCTGCCCACATTCAGGTTCAGACTAAAAAAAACAAACAAACTAGGCAGCACATGTATCATCTCCGACAACTGAGGAAGTTCAGTTTCTCTCCAGGGATCCTCAGGACTTCCTAAACAATTAAATTGGCTACAGAAAAACACCATTGTGTGTTGTAACAGGAACAGAAAGTGATATTCTACCATAGAGCGAGTGAACACCCGGTGACAGCCTGCCTAAGCTTGTTCAGATTTTTATAACATTATAGTTTTAGTTGTAAAATCAGTTGCTCTGCTAGCAGTACAGCTGTGCATGTTTCTGAACATGCTCATAGCTCGATAGATGAACCCCTGAGTTGTCTAATCAAGTAGAAAACTAACTTCTTGTGAGTGATGATGTAAAAATAAGAAGTCAAAAGAGATCCTGGGTATGGAGAAGTGGATTCTGGGGAAAGGGATGGTGTATGCTGTACCTGTGTTGATGTAGAGCCATGAGCAGGGCGGACACATGTTGTTGTTGCTCCTTTAGCGAAAGAAGAATTTCAGTTTCAACTTTCTGCCAGTGGCCCTGAAATTTGAGTTACTGATTATCTAATCACAGCCAATAATAAAACCAATAATCAATAAGATGTGGTTACTGACAGTGAAGTGTTCCTCCAGCTGTGCTATGAAGGTTTTGATGGAAGCTGTGATACCATACATCAGGTCTGACTCTGTCACTGCTCTCAGCTCACAAGTCTCACTGTCCACAGGTGGTCCCGCCTCCTCTGTTAACAGCCCCGGCTCTTCAGGTGAGCGGTCTATAACCAGGTGAGCTGGAGCAAAATTATCAATCATTTTAACTTCAGGCAAACTGTGTGAAAAGTATAAGAATTTACCTGTCGACAGTGGTTTAGATCCTTCTCCCTCTTGTTGAAACGCTGCCCTTCTTTTGTGGACCAACTCACCCTCAGTTTGATCGGACAGGTAACCTAAATACAGGAACAGGTAACAGGTAACCGAAATAGATAAATGTATAAAACCCTTTATATAAAAAGAGTCTTCAGGTTGTGAGTAAAAAAAAAAAAAAAGAAAAAAAAAGAAATTATCAGCTAAAATGAGTCATGTGGGTTTTGTCATTCTTTTTGCTGTCAGTGTTTTTCTGTTACATTTCTCACAGGTCTGCAAAAACAAATGATTAAAAAGGTGTTTCAGATGTCATGAAAGTCAGTTTGGAAGTGACAAATGTGGAGGCTGAGAAGAGCACACCTGAGTCTGGAGCTTTTCTTTTCCTGAACACTTCCTGCAGGAAGAAACAGGAAACTGATAAAAACAAAACAAAAAAACCAAGGAGCAGCAATGGATCTGAAAAGAACTATCAAAGGACATGAACCTGCTCCAAAGGGAAGCTGCTTTCTTCAAAGTCCTGGGAGACCTGTAGCTCCACCCCTTTAGGGTCATCCGACACCGGTTCTATTGCATCTGGCAGGTGAGTTTCAACAGTGACGTCGCTGACAGTATGAAAACCTGAAATAGAAAACAAAAAACAGACCTGTAGAGGACAGGAGATCATTACAGTTCTTCCTGTTCAGAGAGGTTCATTTATTTTCCTATAGATGGGACTGGCCTTTAGCAAAGCACAATATTATCCACAGTTAAGCCTATTCAAATGGCAGCCCACGGGCCACATGCAGCCCAGAAGCAACCTGTGAGTGGCCCTGTCTGTGGTCGTGGAAGAAACGCAAAAAAAATTAATTAAAAAAAAAATTAAAAATTCAAATTCCTACAGCATAGTGTAGACTGAATGAAACACTCCTAGTAGCCTAGCAATATTTAACCCACAATGCACTGTGACGTAAACATATTAAATAATCATCGTAATATAGGATGCGACAACAGCATGTCTTTCTCAGGCCAAACGCGTAAAATTGACAATGAAAACCTTTCGGTTTAACCCTGCCTGGACTGACAAGTACTTAATCATTTTACCACCAAATCCAAATACCAAACCTATGTGTTTAATTTGCCGTGAGTGTGTGAAGGCAACACAATGATAAACACCAGACTTCCTATACAAACTTTCCAGAGCGATCGAAGGAGAGGGCTGCAAAAGCACAGTTTAATTGCGAGTTTAACTGCATCTTACAACCGGAGTTGCACTACGATGATGAGGGTCCTGCACAGCCCAAGAGACATGCAGCAGCTTCCCTTCATGTTTGCTGGATCTTGGTGAAAAAGAAAAGGCCTTTCACAGATTCTGAAACAGTGAAATACTGCATGCTGGCCGTGGTGGATGTGGTGATAAATGATGAAAAAATTAAAGTGAGTGTGACATCTGCTATTAAAAACCTGTCACACAGTTCAAATATTCATAGAGTTGAAGTTCTGGCATCAGACGAGTTCGAAGTGCTGTTAGATGACCTGAAGAAAACTGATGCCTATAGCAGGAGATGGGTTCACAGACAGAACTGATAATGCACAGTTGTGCATATATGTCCGTTTTTTTGATGGCAAATTGCTCGGCTTACTACCACTAAAGGGACACACAGCTGGCGAAACAATGTTTGAGAAGATTTCAGCTTTTTTTGAGGAAAGTGGTCTGGATTTGAAACTTGTCTGTATACTTGTGACGGAGGAGGCTCCATCCATGGCAGGAGAAGTGAGTGCTTTGGCAGCACGGTGGTTGGCTGTTGAACCTTGCACTGCATTGTTCATCAGACTGTGTTGTACACAAAACTAAGTGCGGAGCTCAAAACCACAATGGACAGCGTCATGGCTGCAGTTTATTTTATTCGCTCAACATCAAGCCTCCAGCACTGCTTATTCCGCATGCTGCTCGCAGAAAAGTCTGCTGAGCACCATAACCTGCTGTTGCACAACGATGCCAGGTGGCTGTCCAAAGCCAGGGCACTGGAGCATTTCTGTGATGTCAAAGAGGAGATCACAGCAGGCAAAAAAAAGCAGAAACTGCAGATGTGACCATTGTCCTTTAAAATGTATCCGTTTCAGCAAAATATTTATTTTGAAAGGAAATTTTCAAAAATGTTTTGTTTTTTTATTTCAAATGTGCAAAGAGTTTAGTTAGAGCTCCCCTTTTCTAATGGCCCTTTTTTGTGAGCGGTCACCAGATTCACAGGGGAAAAAAAAAAAAGAATAAACATTACTTGTTTTTCACTTGTGTGGGTTTGAAATGGATCATGATCTGCTGCTTACTGACTGCAACAAAAGATCAGTTCCTCGGTTTCAAAATCTTTCCCAACGATTGAGTTGAATAGCCGTGATTCACAGTGATAAACCACTGAGACGTTCATTTGTTTAGATCTTTACAGTAACTCTAAACTTTGAAATAACCCGGGGCTTAAAGAAGAAGCTAACTTACTGTGACATCCAGACGTCGTGTGTCTGATTTGATCAAACAGGACCTCCGCTGCACTTCTGGCTGCAGGCTAAAAGCAGAACCCTGAAGGTTAGACATCAGAAACAAACTGTTTATTTGTTGGCGATTGTTGTTACCTTGGATACAGTGGAGTCGTCTTCACTGCTCGGAGATGACAGAGGTAAAACTATGGAAGGAGAAAGGTTAGTTAATTTGTAACGATAACACAATGAAAGCCATCTCCCTCTGATGATGGTGCGGTGATAACGATTATGTACAAGTTCAATGAAGATGTGACTCACTCTTAAGCTGGCTCTTACTTGGCGCCTTCTTATGGCCATACGTTCGTCTGTCATGTTTGTTTGTAGTCGAGGCCTGGGCTGTACCGCCTGGATCTTTGACATGTGGGGTATTCTGCACTTTCTGTCAGAGTGGGACATCATCAACATGAAATAGACACAGACTAATATTAATCCCACACAGGAAATTTACTTGTTACATCAAGAGACCGGAAGACAAAATAATACTAATAATACTAATAATACTAATAATACTAATAATACTAATAATACTAATAATACTAATAATACTAATAATACTAATAATAATAGATTGGGTGCCTTGAAAAGCGCTATATAAATCCAAAGCGCTTTACAATACCACTATTCATTCACTCTCACATTCATACACTGGTGGAGGCAAGCTACAGTTGTAGCCACAGCTGCCCTGGGGCAGACTGACAGAAGCGAGGCTGCCATATCGCGCCATCGGCCCCTCTGGCCAACACCAGTAGGCAGTAGGGTAAAGTGTCTTGCCCAAGGACACAACGACCAGGACAGAGAGCCCAGGGATCGAACCGGCACCTTCCGGTTACAGATGCGATTCCCAACCCCCTGAGCCATGGTCACCCCCAAAAATAAATTTGTGATTACTAGAAAAACTTAATAGAACAAACAGTGTGCAATAAAGCTAAACACTATAATACTTACAAATGGATGCTATTTACAGTAAATAAAGTCTGAATATTTTTGCAGACAGCTATTACAGTGTATTGTAGTGGTGTTGGCTTTGAGTAGTGGTGTTGGCTTTGAAGTTCAGCAAGACATCTCCCCCCCTCCCCTCCCCCAAACATCTCCCAGTGTCACAGTGGATCAGGTCAGGAGACAACTGAGGAAGCTTCGCCCCAGAAAGGCAGCAGGCCCAGACAAGGTGTGTCCTAGGATGCTAAAGGCGTGTGCTGCTGAACTTGGGGAGCCGCTACAACGAGTCTTCAACCTCAGTCTGCGACTGGGGAGAGTGCCCGCCCTATGGAAGACATCCTGCATCGTCCCGGTCCCCAAAAAGAACCGGCCCAATGAGCTGAATGACTTCCGACCGGTGGCACTGACGTCACATCTTATGAAGACTCTAGAGCGGCTCTTCCTCAACCTCCTCCGACCACAGGTACAACATGCCCAGGACCCACTACAGTTTGCATACAAGGCGGGTGTCGGAGTGGAGGATGCCATCCTGTACCTCCTACACAGAGCCCACTCACACCTGGATGGGGGAAAAGGCACGGTCAGGATCCTGTTTCTTGACTTTTCCAGTGCCTTTAATACCATCCGGCCCTGTATGCTTCAGGAAAAACTGAACAGGATGGAGGTGGACCCCTGCCTGGTGGCTTGGATCTCCGACTACCTCACCGACAGACCACAGTACGTCAGGCTGAAGGACATCACGTCTGACACTGTGGTCAGCAGCACAGGAGCACCACAGGGAACTGTGCTGTCCCCTCTTCTCTTCACCCTGTACACCTCTGACTTCTGCTACAACTCTGAATTATGCCACATTCAGAAGTTTGCAGACGACACAGCCATCATGGGGTGTATCTGGGATGATCAGGAAGAGGAGTACAGAAGTCTGGTGAGGAACTTTGTCGCATGGAGTCACACAAACCACCTGCAACTCAACACCTCAAAGACTAAGGAACTGGTTGTGGACTTCGGGAGGTCCAGAGAAGGTCCACTGCCGGTTCAGATAGAGGGGGAGGAGGTGGAGGTGGTCAACAAGTACAAGTACCTCGGGCTGTGGGTGGACAATAAACTGGACTGGTCATGCAACACAGAGCACCTGTATAAAAAAGCCCAAAGCCGACTGTACTTCCTCAGGAGGCTGAGGTCTTTTAACATCTGCAGGAAGCTCCTGAGGATGTTTTACCAGTCGGTGGTTGCTGGAGTACTTTTCTATGCTGTGGTGTGCTGGGGGAGCAGCACAGCAAAGAAGGACTCATCCAGGCTGGAGAAACTGATCAGGAGGGCTAGCTCTGTGGTCGGCATGAAGCTGGACACTCTGGTGACAGTGGCAGAGAAAAGGACATTAAAGAAACTGATGGACATTATGGACAATGCGGCATCCTCTGCACACGGCCATTAACAACCAGAAGAGTCTGTTCAGTGACAGGTTGCTTCTCCCCAAGACAAGAACTAACAGACTTAAAAACTCCTTTGTCCCACACGCCATCAGACTGTTTAACTCCTCTCTGGAGGGGAGAGGGAGGGGAAACAGGAGGACAAAGGAGGGGGGAACAACTAAGCTGTAGTGCCTCTTCACCTCACTGTGCAATACCTTTTGTGCAATACTTTTGTAAATAGTCAACAGTGCAATAGACTCAATACTTGAAATGTGCAATTCACTTGTATTTTTATTTTTATTCCTATTTATTCTATTTATCCCCTTCGTATATTTTATTTATATTGTCTCGTATTATATATATATGTGTATATATTATATATATATATTTATATTTATATATATATATTATATATATTATATATATGTGTGTGTGTGTGTGTGTGTGTGTGTGTGTGTGTGTGTGTATATATATAATATTCTGTAACTCTGTAACTTCGTCGGTGCTGTGCTTTTTGGAAATCGAATTTCCCAGAGGAACCCACCCGAGGGATTAATAAAGTTCTATCTAATCTAATCTAATCTACAGCTGTGTACTGCAGTCTGCTGTGGGGATGAAGGGCCTACGACCCTGCTCCTACACAGTGACTAACAGCCCACTGCTGAAGGAGCTGTTCAGGGCCTCCACAGTCTCATGCAGGGGGTGACCGGTGTTGTCCATAATGAACAAGGCCCAGCATCTCTATGGGGTCTGGAGGACTGTCCAGGATAGAGCTTGCCTTCTTCACCTATTAATCTGTTGCTCTCCATCTCTCCCTTGCCTCCCCAGCAGACAACTGCATAAAAGATAGCTGAAGCCATCACAGTGTAATAAACACTCTTCACTAATATCCTGCACATGCCTGTCCAGCACATGGAGCCCACTTTAAAACAGCATGTACAGTGCGTGAGCGTTGTGTGTCCAGTTTATTGTTAAGGTGAAGTACCCAGGGATCTTTACCTGTCCCAACCCTGATGTCCAAACAGGTTTGAACAGACACTCCACTCCCCCAGCCCAATCATCTCTTTTGCAAACCCCCGCGTCTTCGACAAATGTCAGCTTTTGTTCCCATGACTTCACACCTCTCAGCCCTCACCCACTCTTCTGCTACACAAGACTCCATCTCACAGCTCCCCTCCTCCACCACCATCCTGTCCCTGTCAATACTTCAGGCGAGGAATGGCTCAAGGTCAAGGTGAGAAAGGCTGCAGGTCTGGATGGCATCAGCTCCAGGCTCCTGAGGAGCTGTGCAGACCAATTGTGTGGCATCCTGGCATACATGTTCAGCACGAGCAGGGGAAGCTCCACAGCTGTGGAGTGGTACTAGTACTGAAGACCACACATCCTGGATGGACCTCAACAGCTGATGAAGACCCTTGAGAGGTTGGTACTCAAACATCTTCGCCCTCTGACGTCTTAATTGGATCTGCTGCAGTTGGCCTACGACCCTAGCACTGGGCTAGATGATGCCAACATCTACCTCCTGCACCAAGCTCTGACCCACTGGAGCCTGGAAGCAGTGTGGGGATCATTTTCTTTAATTTCTCAAGTTCTTTGGGGGGGGTTTTGTTTTTGTTTTGTTTTATTCTTCATCTTCTCTAGTGGTTGTTATGCTGGATGCTGGTTAGATTGGTAAAACAAAAGGAATGCAGAGAAATAGAAATAAAAGAAAAGGGTGAAGTAAACAGTTCTCTAACAAAGCTCACTCATATGATACACAGCACCTAAAGACAAAACAGAGGGGGCACACAAACAAATATACTGTGTGTGTGTGTGTGTGTGTGTGTGTGTGTGTGTGTGTGTGTGTGTGTGTGTGTGTGTGTGTGTGTTTTCTCAGTGATTTAAAAAAAATCATTGTGAGGCTGCAATCAAGAAACCCTTCTGAGACCCAGCAACCAGTCCAATCCTCTACCCTTAATAACAAAGGGATGTAGATGCAGCGAGCCCTAGATCCAGGCCTGTCCACCCACACCTTCTGAAGCGTGGATGGGCAGGTGGCCCCGTGCTCTGCAGTGTTCTCGCCCCCACAAAGATGTGTACTCGCCCCCACAAAGATGTTGGGGACTCCCTGGAAAGAGAGAGGTTCAGTAAGCACCGCCAGTTCTCACACCCTGCCACAGGGCAAGAAAGAACGGACCAGTGTTGAGTGCAGCACCAAACTGGAGGCCAGCACCCTTCCTCCCCACCACAGCGAGTACTCCAGCTCAACCTCTCAAAGCACCAGCACATCACTCAACCGACAGTGAAGACAGAAGAACAAGACAAACTAGCCTGAATTGGAGACAAGCCACAGCACCAGCTCCCCAAGCCATCTAAACTGCTCCCTCTCCTGAACATGTGAGGACGACAACAGACCCCCCCACACTGACACCAGTGAACATTCAGGGATTGGACCTGTACCTGGGTGTTCACCTGAACAATAAACTGGACTGGAGTCCCAACACTGACGTTATTTACAGTATGGGTCAGAGCAGACTCCACCTGCTGAGGACAACAAGATCTTTTCAGGAGCATACCCTGCACTCCAAGACCTCTGTTGTGGCCTTGGCCATCATCTATGGTGTTGTCTGTTGGAACAGCAGCTTCTCTACAGCTGAGAGGAAGCAGTTGGATAAGCTCCATACGAGGCCAGCTCTGTCCAAGGATGCCCCCAGTGCAGGTAGTAGGAGACAGAAGAACTCCAATGCCTACCAACCCGTGCATGAAGCTGTTGCAGAACTGGAGAGCCCCTTCAGTGACAGACTGACGCATCCACAGTACACAAAGAAGCGTTATGGCAGGTCCTTCCTCCCAGCAGCTGTTAGACTTTTATAACCATTGATGCAGCTTCTCATAACACCGAGAAATCAAACAAAAAATAAAACCATGGCTCAGGTACAAATTCAAGTCTGAAGAGAGACCGGTTATCAGAAGAGAAGCACTGACAGATTTAAACTACCTGTGTCACCTGTCTAAGACACGCAGACTGCAGATCTGATGATACAATTACAAATATTGATCCTTGACCAGCAGTCATCAAAACCTTTTTGTTCAAACATGGTAGGGGTTTTTGTTTTGTTTGTTTTTTTACAGGAAAAACTGATTAGAAGTCCAATAACAGAACAGTCATCACTGTCTTTGCGAGTTGGCGAGACAGAGCGGCAGGCTGACAGGACAGGTGGTGAGACAAACCATTACCATGAACACTCTCCCAGCTGCCTCTTCCAGTTCTTTGTGGTGTTTGGAGTTGAAGGTCAGCTCCACTGTCTGGCCTCTGACATTGTCGTGCATGATGGGATTGTTCAGCCAGAAACTGAGGACCGTCTCTTCCCCAGGGCATCATGGGAAAAACAGAATTGTCCAATTCATGCTCTGGTCCTACTTATACATGATCTAACATACCTGAATGCTTCAACATGCTGGATTTTAGGGTTAAAGTTCTGACCATTCTGTTTGACCTGCAGACTGTAATGATCCACCTCCTCCTTCGGCACATGAATGGATCCCCAAAGGAAACCCTGAACAAAAACATAACCAGAACACAGCAGGAGAAAAATGTGAATATGCAGCCAAACTCAGTGTCCAACTAAAACTTCAAGGCAGTTGTTCCCTTTGGTGCTTTTAAACAAAACCTTATTGCATTATTTGACACAACATTTTATTTGAGGGTGCCTTTCAGAAACCCAAGGTCACCTTACAAAGCAAAAAATGAAAGGGGCAATAATTATAAAACAAGTTATCCATCCATCCACTTCTCTTTTTCAGAGTTGTGGGGGACGCTGGAGCCTATCCCAGCTGTCATAGGGCAATAGGCGGGGTACACCCTGTACAGGTCGCCAGTCTGTCGCAGGGCTAACACACACAGACATCCATTCACACTCACATTCACTCCCACATTCATACCTATGGACAATTTAGTTTAATCAATTAACCTATCCCCACAAACTGCATGTCTTTGGATGGTGGAAGGAAGCCGGAGTACCTGGGAGAACATGCAAACTACACACAGAAAGACCCTGGCCTGATGGTGAAATTGAACTCAGGACCTTCTTGGTGTGCAGCAACAGTGCTAACCAGTGTGCTGCCCATAAAATAAGTTAAAATTGCAAAACAGAACTTGACAACAGATAAAAATCAGCAAAAAAGTGAATAAGCCAGTGTGAACAGATGGGTTTTGAACTGTGACTTAAATATAGGAAGAGAGTCTACATTTCTTATGGCTGGAGGAACAGAGATCCAGAACCGAGGAGCAGAGCAACTGAAGGCTCCCCATAGTGGTAAGACGAGGAGAAGGAACAACTTGAATGGCAGACGAGGATCTGAGAGGCGGGAAACAGTGTTGGAATGAAGTAGATCACAGAGATAAGGAGCAGATTTATGGATACACTTCCAAGTGAGAAGTAAGATTTTAGAGTTTATCCTGGCTTCTATTGGCAACCAGTGAAGCTGCTGAAGAATTGAATACAGCTTATCAAGCAAGCCCCCCAAAACAACCTAAAGTCTGTCAGTTCTACAGTAAAACTTCATAGTATGGAGTACTACCTGAGGCTCATCAATGAAGAAGCTGACACATCCTGAGCCCGTGTTAAAGTCTATCCAGAACTCATCTAGTTTCTCATCTTTTGGACGAAAGAGCTGCACAAGAAAACATACAGAGTCTGAATACAAATGCCAAAAAAAAATTACGTCCTTTTTTAAATTTTTTAATTTTTCAAAGGGTGAAAAATGTACCTGAGTGGAACTGAGAAAGGCACGGAGGCAGGGAATAGTGTAGACCCTGAGAGACAGAACACAGGTAACTACTGTGATCAGAGTTCTCCGATTTACTTTATATTAATAAATTTTTAAATATGGTTCATCACCTCCCCTGGTTTCCATGGTAGCAGTTGACAAAATTCAAGAATCGTCTGCAGTCCTGCACAGTGAGACAGATGGCTGACTTACTTCATAAAAAAATTAAAAACCTGTATAAAGACAGTTAAGCCAGTTTCCCAGATATGCGGTTCTGTTGGCGTCATCGATCCACAACGTGATGAGACCCTGTTGGTTTATCAGAATCAGAAACTTTGTCATTGTCACGAGAACAACGAAATGAAGAATGGTCCCCGATCATTGCATCATCCCCAGCAATATCAAAATATAAATAAAACAATAAAATTCAATAAATAAAATAGATAGAATACTTAAAATACTAATAAGATGTAACAGTAAAACATTCACATACATTCCCACACACATGCTTCAGGCCGTGCATAGATTAACACAAGAGTGGCGTGATGGACATTTTTTTGTAGTATTCAGATGTGTTATTGCAGTTGGATAACAGCTGTGTTTGAGTCTATTAGTCCTTGCTCTGATTGCCCTGTACCGTCTGCCTGAGGGCAACAGTTCGAACAGGGAGTGGCCAGGATGTGAGGTGTCTTTTATGATGTTTTGGGCCTTTTTAAAACAGTGGGCATTGTGTAGAACTTCCAGTGTGGGGAGAGGGCAGCCAGTGATCTTTTGGGCGGTGTTAATGATCCCTTGGAGTGCTTTCCTCTGAGCCCCTGTGCAGCTAGTGTACCAAATACATATGCAGTAAGTTAGAACACTCTCAATGGTGGCTCTGTAGAAGGACACCAGCAGTCTCTGTGTGATGTTATTCCTCCTGAGAATTCTCAGGAAGTACAGTCTCTGTTGGGCCTTTTTCAGCAGCTCGGAGGTGTTCACACTCCAGGAAAGGTTCTCCTCTATATTGACTCCCAGGAAGCAGAAGCTTGCCACCCTTTCTACACAGTCCCCATTTATGAATAGTGGTTGGATCTCTGCCTTTTTCCTTCTGAAATCTATTATGAGTTCTTTGGTTTTTGAAGTGTTGAGGAGGAGGTTATTGGCCTTACACCATGACGTCAGCTGCTCCACCTCGTCTCTGTACGTAGACTCGTCTCCCTTGGAAATGAGCCCCACCCTCACCTGTGGTCACAAGCCGTGGCATGGACTAAAAGACACAGAAAATAGCTTCCTCTGGCTCTTCCTTGAGACGGGGTGAGGACTTTGGTCATTTAGGAGGGGTAGAACTGCTGCTGCTCCACATCAAAAGTGACATCTCCTCGGTGAGGTATTGCAGGAATGGAGGTCCAGGCTAGACCCAGGACATGCTGGTTAGATTAGAGCAATTGGCTGTCTGGTTGGGTTTTTATTGAAATTATTTTCTAGACTCCACCTCTCTGGGAACATCTTAGGCTCTCCGAGGAATGGAGGCCCATCTCACCTCACCACACTCCCTGCCAGTGGCTGATGCCCTCAGACGTTGGTGTGTTTGTGGTTCTTGGTGTCTGGGGCCGAGAGCTCATGTATGTACCGATTCATGGCCGATTGGCGGGCCCTGGCGCCTGTGGCCCAGGTGGGCCTCTTCCGGGGGATAGGGTGCCCTCAGGCCTGTGGGCATGGGGCTCGGTCCTCTCTGGCACAGCTGGCTGCCAGCAAAGCACGCGGGCACGTCACAGCAACCCCCTCTGGCCTTTGCTCCGTGGCTGCTGGGTGACCTCTCGTTTGGGGCTCTCCTCAGCTCTTCCGAGGAGGGTGGCACGGTTGCCCCCCTGGTGGTTCTCCTTGGGTTCTTGTACTCTGGGACCTGGATCTCCTCCATACCTGCTATATGCCCTGGGGGACGGGGCTATGGCTCCCCACACTCCCTAGCAGACCATTACATGGAGAAACCTTTTGAATACAAGTGTGCTGATCCACACAGGTGTGCACACGGGTGTTCACAGACACAAACTACACATTTCTTGGCTGCTGCCTCAAAGCACATTGTGCACTGTTGAGCTTGCGTACTGCACAATAACATGTAATATTTAGTATCTACTGTTAGCTAGTTTATTGTGATGGTGCTGTATTTATTATGTTGCTCTTTTTTGTTTGTTTTTTAATTATAATAAAAGGTTTACCAATTGGACCAATATGGCAAGGCCATGATGATCCAATTGGTAAACTAAATCCGCTTGGCATCTTTTTTGGCCTTCAGATATCAATTCTGACGCCTAAGATCCAAACGGGACAGGCAAAAAAAAACAAACAAACAAAAAAACAAAACAGAAAATAAATTATTTTCTACTGTGGCCAAAATGACCTTGGTTCACTTTAGTCAGTTCAGTTTTATTTGTATAGGACCAAATAACAACAGTTGCCTTAAGGTGTTTTATCAAATGACTCTTGCACAAATAATGTTTATGTGAAACACGGAAAACAGTGATGCCAGAATGATAGCTGGCTAATAAGCTGTTACATTAATGCTGCATGTTTAGCCTAAAAGCTTCAAGTTATATTAGAGAAGATTGTTGTTTGTTTGTTTTTTTTAATATACAAATTGTCAGAAAAAAAAAATTTTTTTTCCCTTCAAGATCACATTAATGAAATACTAATAATGCTTTGTGGATGTATTTGTTTTTAGGGTATGAATCCAGTCCAATCTTGTGGCTGACTCGAGGTAGACTTGGAGAAAATTAAAAGATTCACTTTGATTACTCAGAAGGTTCAATACAGGCTTAACAACCTGAACTGTGTGTGTTGTGTTCATCACACTGTGGAATTTAAACAGAAAGCTTGGAAATGACATACAGAGTGAGACAGCTGAGAACTCACCGACTCAAAATCAGCATCTCTGATGTCACAGAAAGCCATGCTGATGTCAGGGATGGAGAACCACTGACTGGCTTTCTGCATGCGGTCTCTGCGTGGAGTCATGCGACACAGAGCTTCTGACAGGCTGACCTGCAGCTCATAGTCTGAAACAGAGAACTACAAACGTGGCTGTCTGTAATAACACTTTGATTCTAGGCCCTTTCCTGTTTACGGGCTTCCTGTCTAACATAGAGGTGACAAACATGACGCTTCTATATATTCACTGCTAACAGCACTGAGGGGACGGTGTGCTCAGGTGTTCCAAGTGCAGAGTCAAGACTCGGCTCTAAACTCTTCTGTTCACACTCATGAGACTTCCTCAGGACATCGTTTAACCACAGCGATTCTAAATATCCGTAAAGCATTATGACAGGTGAAGAGAAAACAATCCCAATAAAGAAAACAAGAATCGCTCATGTTGAATATTCGGTGCGATTTGCTGTAACTCACCTCCAACTGTCAGAACTGCTGCAGCCACCTGGGGTCTGTCAGACAGGCAATCAAGCAGATAGTACTGAATTTAGATGGGTATACATGTGCTGGTTAGAAACATTTCAATGTAAAAATCTCAGTGTGCACTACAGACAGCATTTGGTTTTGATTCTGGTCATTCTGGATCAGTCGCCTCTGTTCTCGGCTCAGAGACTCCAGCACGCTGTTGAAAGTCCTGATGGCCTGAAACAAGAGAAATTACACTGAGGTCAGTCATCCAGATCACGGTGATCTAAGGAGCGTGGAAAGAAAAGCCACTGGAGTTCTTTGAGTTTCTTTGAGAAACTTAACTGCTCCTTTGGTTCATCCGCTTCTCTTTCCACGCTCCTTAGATTGCCTCTGTATTGTCCAAATACTATGTGACCCAGCCGTTCTTTAGAGTCAGAGCAAAGCTGTGTACAAAAACACATCACAGCCCAGCACAGACAATGAAAAGCACACTGTGTCAGTGCATTACCTCCAGTCTCAATGGGAAGTGAACTTCTGTTTCCAGAGTCAGATGAACCAACTGCAGAAGAACTACTGACAGCTGACTCACTGAGAAACGGACAGGTAGTAGATGACAGGACGGACAGGTGAGACTCATGCTTCGGTGGGAAATCTACATCATAACTTACACTGCCACCAGAAACTCATTTGATCCCTACACTGTAACCTTCCAAGAAATGTACCTACATGTCACTGAACTACCTGGAAGGTTGTGGTTTAGGGATGAAAGGAGCTGCCAGTTAACGAAGCTAGGACATCATCATCTCCAGCAGAAGTCTAAATGAAGCCTAACACATGAAGATCAAAGCAAAGACAGAAACCAACCTGGAAGAGAAGCTTGGCCAAGCAGCTGAAACGAGACGATAGAGAGTGTATTTAATGAGCCTGGTTCATCTCCCAGCAAACAGCAACTCTTACATCCTATGTTACACTGAATTAATATGGAAAAGATTTTAATGACGGTTTCACTCCATCAGCAAAGTGTTTAGCATTGACCCAGTTATAAAATCGATCAAATTAACTGCATTAATCAGACATCTGCAGCCAGAGCCTGTAGCGAGCACAAAGTTGTACAAAACAAATGTTTGGGGTTTTTCTGCTTCAGGGTTCTGCGGTAGGACCAGTTCTGTTTACGTTATGAACTCTCTTTGTTAGAGTTAGCAGGAGCTGCATGTACTGAGAGGAAACTTAAAGCTCGCAGAAACTGTCTACAGTGTTGGCCTCTTATTGGTGGATGACTGGATATGTAAAGCACTTTGGGGTCCTTAGGGACTAGTAAAGCGCTATATAAATACAGGCCATTTATTGTGAGTTTTAGCTCCAGGCTCACCATGAATCCCAGACTGTTCAGAAACATAAGCTGGATGCAGCTTTGGCCAACCTCCAGGAGAACATCTCTCATCACAACAAAGTGAAGGAGCTCTTCTGTCATAGTGGTCATCACTGTGTCGGTTACCTGTAATGCTAAAATAAAGCTATAGCAGAGAGAGCTTGAAGGCCACCACATCTGGTGCTGCCAGAGAGTCCAAGACCAGAGCAGAATCTTTACAGTGACCCCAGTACAGGACTTTGGATCCAAACCAATGGCAGAAATGATTTGACTTGGACCGGGAGGTGACATGGAAGAATGAAGTACAGCTAGATCCTAATCACCCAGACACATTAGGGAATCATTTCCAGGTCCATCACTATATGTGTTCAACAGGACGTTAGATTTGATCTCACATACTTAACGGTACGAAACAGTAAATGAAGTGTGATGTATTCATTTGGGGCACAGAGTGGAAAAAGGTATGTCTGAGCATGTCCAGTGGTGCTTTTTATTTCTAAAGTAACAGTTACACATATGAAAGTTTAAACTGGACCCATGGAAACATGAAAGCATCCTGTTCCACAGCCTGATGAATGAATGCGATTGGTTGGACAGGTGTTCTTTGTGTGCGTTCTGCTTGTCCAGAGACTTGGCACGTGAACACATGGACAGTCCGTCTGAGCTGGGCTTCATTCAGCGGTATCGAACAGCGCTTTAAATTTACACAGATCTATTTGAAGGTTTTACAGCTCTAACGTATAACCTGTGAAATAATCAGCAGTACTGCATTTTACCACCAAATCACCAGAACCCATTTCTGTAATCCCAGGAGTTTGATTCTGTTCATCTGGACATTTTTAGTGGGACAAACGTTTCATCGTCAGGTGACTTCTTCAGTGTCAGCTGACTGCAGGTTTCCCCAACCTTAGACACAATCTGAAATCTGTGAGGTCAGTTTCTTCTTTCACCATCTTACAGTGCTGTAATCACAGCCATTCCCCAACTCTCTGTGAACTGTACTATGTCCAGAATCAGCCTTTCGGGATTTCCTTACCTGGATGATTGAGCATGCATCAAGACCTTTCTGCAACATTCTGCTACCTTTTACAACACTGTAGCATTTTATTCATGTTGTTTATAGATTTTTAATCACCAGTGGATAGAAATACTTTCCTGTGCAAGACAATGAGCTACATCAAGTCATATAAGCTGTTCCTTTCAGACTGATAGAATGCTACCAACACCACCTTTAATGTCAGCATGCAGGGTGTGAACACAGCGAGTTGATAACCAGCTTAACAGTTTATGGTGACTGCTAACATCAGGGTAAGTGGATTCAGATAAAAAAACCTGGGTATGTCTGTGAAGGTTCTCAGACATCCACGTCATCGTAGTCTAAGGAGCTTGGAAAGAAAAGTGTCTGGACTTCTTTAAGTTACTTGAAGACGTTTCACCTCTCATCCGAGAAGCTTCTTCAGTTCTAAGGTCAAATGGTGGAGAGTCCCAGAATTAAACCCAGTGGAAGTATCCCACTGGGTTACTCCTTCGTACCTCTTTGGGGGGGATACTTTGGGGTGAAACATCTTCAAGCAACTTAAAGAAGTCCAGACGCTTTTCTTTCCAAGCTCCTTAGACAACCCTGGGTATGTTAAACTCACTTTATAGAATAAGTCCCAGGTGAGATGTTTAGCATCTGTTACCATGGCGATTCAACAGGTAAAACAATATTGCCTTATCGACACAGCTAGCTAACACATGGATGTGGCTCCACAGTTATAGCCCTCTGGGTAGAGAAATGTTCTCACCAGGAAGAAGTCAAAGAACTCCTCAGTGAGATTGAGCAGGGGGGTGGAGATTCTCTGAAGGTCAGAAGTCAGCTGTTCACAGACCGCTTCAAACCACATCAATGCCTAAAAGGCAAACAACAACATGAAGGTAATGTGACGCATGACATCTGACCCGATTTATTCTGACAAATTTAGACAGATTACTTTAGCAGTCAGTCCATGACCGATGAGCATCTGCAGGTCTTCTTTGTTCTCTGCCAGAATCCCCAAAGACTTCAAGACAAGCATAGCTCTGCTGAAACCAGAATCACGCAGCTCCTAACAACCAAGCAAGCAAACAGGTGTGTGGTAAGACTCAGTCATGCTCACATCACTCTGATGCTTTATTGATCCTGCAGTGGAAACGGACGTTACACAAACAGGAGCATAAAGAACACAAACCTACTACAAACCAAGTAAAACGTACCACAGAGGCACGCTGAGGCCTTTTAACGTCAGGCAGGCCAGACGTTTCACGTACAACAGCGTGACTCAAACACCTCCACATGGAATACTTTGTTTGACATGAAACTTTGATTATGAACATGTCGGGTCTTTATGGCTGCTTGGAACCTTCCAGAGCGCTTGCTTTAACATGGACAAAACTAAACGTAATCAGAGGACTTTCCACATCAGCTGGTATGAAATATGAACTTATCGTGCAGATTTTTAGTCCCAAACCCAGGCACTCTCAGAGGCATCAACACAAAAGCCCATTTCATTTAGCAGACAGACTGAGGAGCATGCTCAGTCTGACTTCATTCTGGCCAATGATTTTCAGCCAATCACAGAAAACATCCTGAGGTCATGTGACTTGTTAAAGGTAAATGACATCATTTACCTTTCTGTTCATCATTTAAACTTCATTGTTTTCTAAAAGCTGTAACAGGAGGATAAGATGATGCCTGAGCTCTACAGCATCTTTATGTTAACTTTGATCTAACCTGTCACCAGGTGAGAGGCAGGTGCACCTGAATGGCAATGTGGTGGTCAGCTTGGCCCAGACAGGACGTTTAATCTTCCGTCTGTAACAGCACCAACTGTTGCACCACCCTGACCTCAGGACAGGCACTGCATCAGGTGGTTTCTAATGGCACAGGTCAACAAACCAACACAGTGTGGGCAGACACTGCCCCTTGGTGGTGAAGGTTTTTGTTAAATGCATAAACTTTTAAAGCTTAAGTGAACATTTGTGGTGAACATGGAGAACTCCTGTCTGATAGTCATGCATAGAGAACAAACAGTTACCCCCTTACCTTGGTAACCAGCTGGTCCAGCCGGGTGAGGGTGCTGCTGGTCAGTCCTTCATAGTAGAGCAGAGAAGCCAGATGGGACGTGTCTCCATGGAGCATACAGTCCTCCACCTGAACCTCGAACTGAGCGACAGGGAGATGCAGGTGTGTAAAACCATCAGACATAAAGTGTGCTCCCTGCACCAGACTCCACTGACATTTACTCTGATTTAAGAATCAGACGTTTGTTTGCTCCCAGTTTAAATGCAAAAGGATCACTTCCTGTGACGGACAGCAGGGGGCAGTACAGGCTGGACTGTGTGGCACAGGGGTGGACAAAATAACAGAAACACCCGCAGAAGCTGCTGTTAAACACGTTTTTAAAGTTAAAAACGATTTTGAATCGATATAGAAGCGTTATTGATTCCTAGTATGTGATGTCATCACCCTGATCTATGACGCACTGCAGTTTTCGGAGTTTCATAAATCGAGCAGGGAAACAACCAAAGTTCATAAATATACTTCCAATCGATACTTGACTTAATGATCAGTGATCATATCAAACTGTGAGTTTACCATCGCGTCTCCTCGTCCTCCCTCAGCTTCTGATGTGACGGGGGCGCGCACAGCTGGAGGTCATTAACTCATCACAGAGAAAGTAGTTCCGACACGCGAAGGAATATCGGCTTCTTTTTCGTGTACTTTGAGATTCTCACAAAAAATTGTAAATAAAATTAATGAAAATCTTAAAAATCAACTTTAATTTAAAAAAAATGTTTTAATGAGAAACACCAAAAGTCTCTCTCACACACACACACGGAGGCGGGCGCGCAGGTGAGCAGGTCGTCAGGTGTGTCCTCTAATAGATGACTAATGAATTTGTTTGTTTTGGGAGAAACACTGACGTGTTTACACAACACACACGGACAGATTTTTTCAAAATCAGCTTATTTATTTAGAAGAAAAAGAATTAATAAGAATAATAAACAGCTGTTGTTATTAATGTGGCTGTTGTTCAGAGCATTGATTGATTATTGGTGATCGTCACGAGGCTGCACACTTGTTTTTGTCTCGTTTGTATTTTTAGTTTTTCTTCCTCTCTCACCTGTACACACCCCCTCCCGCTCCCTCTTCCCTCCGCAGGCTCGTGACTCTCTCACCTGTCCTCTCACTTCTACCTGAGTCCTCTACAGAGCTGCACGCGCTGTCCGGAGTCGCGCGGATCATTTTGAATGTTTTATTTCACCTGCGGACTTCCGGTTTGAAAAGAGGTTTGAAAACTTTTAATTTGGCTCAGATTCTAATTCTTTGATTTCGAAAGAACCATCGGAGAGCCGAAGAGGACAGGGTCAGGCCCGCCAGCGGCAGGAGGATGTCCCGTGCCGAGGAGCGCGAGGAGGCGGACTGCGTGTGTTCCGTCGGGATGAAGTTAACGTGGGACATCAATGACCCCAAGCTGCCCCAGGTACCACGTGATCCCAGTCATCCTTTATTGATTTTAAATGTAATCAATAAAAAAAGATTGAGAGGAAATAAGAAGGAAGCTTAAATTAGGCAGACAATGAACGGAGTCTGGAGAAGCAGGGAGTCAGGGCCGGAGACGTTTGTTCATCAGTGATCACAGTTTGATCCGCTCCGAGCACAAACGCGGCAAGAAGAAACAAACAGAAAAAGCAAAACACGAAAATAAAATTAAAGTCAGATGTTTTTAATTTGCATAGAAATAATCCGAGTTTGTTTTAGAATTACAGGCCACCTCTGGAGAATTGTCGTCACATCTGGAGCTCAAATTAAATTTAAAAAAAGTGTTTGAATTTAGTTAGATTTTTTGCTTTCGAGAAAATGAAACGGAAAAAAAAGAAAGAAATAAAATAAAAATGTGAAAGAGCAGCAGGTCTGAGAGTGTGAGCGAACACACAGTGACAAACCCAAATATCCACGTTTAAAAATAAGCTTTTGAAAACTAAACAAATATCTGAAAAATAACTCGTTCATGCAGAATATTTACACACATATAAGTGTCACAATAAAAAGGAATTCGTTCATTAATAAGAGCGTACACACTGCTTATTATATTATAACATTATTTGAATTTATAAGTCTACAGAAATCAAAGTGAGCAACTCAATAAATGTTTCTTATTTTATTTATTTTGATTTTGTGAGATGGTCTAAAGAAAACGGTCCAGTGTGTGATTTACATGGAAGCTTTGACACATCCCAGCGCGAAACCACGTCCATTCCTGATGCACGTAATTATCGATAATTAACTAAAAATCTATAATGAATATATGATGCAGTAACTGACATTACAAATACTCAGTCGTGCATGAGGAATTAGAGGAGGGCAGAGGTCGAAGTTTAAAAGGTTACAAAATTCAATTCAATTCAATTTTATTTATATAGCGCCAAATCACAACAAAAGTCGCCTCAAGGCGCTTCAAAATAAAAACACAATATTGAAATCAGCTGTTCTGCATCGAGAAAATGTTTGTTTGTAGTTTCTGGATTTTTCTGCCTTGTATGGAACACATGAACGTGTTTGATCAATAATCAAACCATCGATCTGTTTTTATTTACATTCACAGGTCGAGTCTTTGAAAGTTTGATTGGATTATTGATCAGTTATCGATAATCGGTCACTTTCACATCATTAAACACGTTCTCCAGTATCTTATTCTACAAAACTTTATTTAAACAAACTGTTCAGAGGAGTTAATAAAAAATAAAGACATTTATTTGTAGTGTGTGTGTGTGTGTGTGTGTGTGTGTGTGTGTGTGTGTGAGAGAGAGAGCGGACTGAAAAACCCCACATTTGAGAACAAGCAGAACAAATTATATTTCAGTTCTTTTTAATGTAATGAATGTGAAAAATGTCCGTTGAATAAAATCATGTTTCTCCTGCAGGCGTTTTTTCAGACACGTTTTTATTTTTATTTATTTTTTTCATGACATGCGCAGATCCAAACAGACGAGCCTTCACAAACACGTTTTCATTAATTTGGTAATAATAATCAATAATTATTATTGATAATAAATAATATTTGTATTATTACTTCAGTTCAGTGGTTTGAATCAGGAGAATGTGTCACGCGTGAAAGTTTCACACATTCCCACAGACCGGTGCAGAGTCAGAGGTTTTGTAGAGGTTGTTTGAAGGTTACGTGAAGCCGCCGTGTGACCCGCGCTGACTCGGCTCTTTGACTCTGTTTTTCTGGTTTTCTGGAGGTTGTTTGAAGGTTACGTGAAGGTTCGTGTGACCCGTGCTGACTCGGCTCTCCGCTCTGTTGTTGCTCAAACAGAAAAAACTGGTTTGTATATTTTTGTTTCCAGTGAAACCAAACACACATCTCCCATCGCACACAGCTCCCACGCTGATCGATATCTGTGATCGATCCGGGACACAGCTTTTACACTCAGAGCTGATTTTTCAGATCGAATTCAAATGATGGAGCTGATGCAGGATAAATAGTGTGGTTCAGAGACCGCTGAGGGCCACGGCCTGGACTAGACTTTATCTGGCTTCACAGCCTGACTCCCAGCCGACTGTCCACGCTCCGTGTCATGATCCTGGACGTGGACAAGGGTAAGAATGTTTGCCGAATGGTTTCGGGTCACGTGGAAACGGGGTTTGGTTGTTTGTTAATTCACTGCCTGACAAGAAATTCAAAATTTGCTCCAGAAATATTTACGCCCAAATAATTTTAAGTAATGAGATTACATTTCACGAATCGGGTCAAATTATTTTTTTGTTTGTACGAATCAGAATCAAGAGTTTTATTGCCAAACGTTGAGCAGATTTGCAACATTAGGAAATTGTTGCGGTGCTTTGTGTGAGACATTAATAGATATAAATAGACATAAATAATCAGTAATTATTTCAATAAACAAACCGTTGACTAGTTATCTACATTTAACTCAAAGTGATTCAAAGAATCGCTTTTTGGAGAGCTGCGTGAAAATATGTGCAGACGATTTTCCACGATCGCACTGAACCAGCCGTTTTTAATCTGGGCTCCTCCGCTTAAAGTGCCGTGGGCTGGTTCATGTACCGGGCTCTCGTCTCTGGTCTCCTGGGGTTGGCCCACTATGATCCTCTGATGTCTCTGACTGGACGTCCTAAGACTGGATTCTGGAGATATAAACCGGCCGCTGTTTCAAACTAAACACGAGTGCAACTCCGTGGAACGGGCCGTGGTGTGAAGTCGCTGCTACCTGAAGACTTTGTTGAAGAAACCCTCCCAGTGAGGACAATAATAAGCAGCAAGTTTGTGCTGGTCAGACTGGAGCTGGCTTCTGTCCTGTGATGCGAGGTCTGCTCTATTAGCCGCGTGGGCACCGGACGTGTTCCCACCACGGCGATGAGCCGAGACGTGTCTCCAGTGTAACGTGGAAATAAAACGAGTTTAAAATGTGCGGTTCCTTGTTTGAGTGAAATGATGTAACTGAATGTTTGTATGAATTTAAGGTCGTTTTCAGTGTTTTTTCTGTTTCCTGACTGTGAGTCTGGCGTTTTTCTTTGTTAAAGATAAACTTTTCACACTTTACTGATAACGCTCACACATCTATTCACAGAATCAGACAAAGATTTACCAACATCAGTAAGCACGTGTGTTTTCTCGGGGCCACCGTACATTTCACACAGCGTTCCGGGCTGTATCCGATCAGGATGTGTTACATCATATTCTATAAGGATGTTATGTGTTTGTAGACTTTCTGCCCAGTTTGACCCATTTAGCAGAAGTCAGCCTGTTTAAGGCTCTAATATCTATTCTGTATGACTTAAAACAGTTATGACATGGTCTGATTTTCTCACCCAATAAAGGAATATTTCATATATCAGTCTACTCTTCATTCTATCAGACACAGTTATCACAGCTCCTACATTTGCTTTTTACACATATTTGTAAGCATTGAGCCAAATTTAGTAATGCCAACATATTAAACGAACAATATTTGTCTCTTATATATGATACATCTGTATATACACTGTCACAGATACTTGAGTGTCTTTGAGTGAAGATTTAAGGTGACAGGAAACATAAATGACTTCAACTTGAATCTTTACTGAAGCTCAGTGTTTGACACAGAGTTCACTCACATGTGCTGTACCAGCGTACCTGCACATGTGATGTGACAATAGAAGTGATTTGATTTGGGAGTTCAAACTCACTGCTGTAATAACTAATAATGATTAATATAATAACTAAAATATTGGCCATATTATATTTACACTGACTTTAGTCTCATGAACAACATTAACTAATTGTTATTTACTAACTAACCTTATATGACTGTTCAGTACAGATATGAAGCCCAACAATCATGTTTTACAGTCCTGTGGTCTCAGCCTCAGATACTTATTAAATCACACAAAGTTCGTGTAGAAACAAATGAACAAATGAACAAAATATGTTCTCCTTCATTTCTGTCAACTACACGTTTCCAGCTATCATGGTTGTTAGGCAACCTGGGCAGCGCGATGGAGGCTAGACCGCCCATTTCACAAGCCTCGCACTTCCGGCCTTAGCGGTCTTTGAGTACGCGGCCCTTGAGGACCGTTGAGGCTGCGTACTTTAAGGCTGCAGACCCTGAATTGGGGTACAGCCCAGGTCTGTTTCAGTGTGAGGGCATCGGTGCGTCACACCGTCATCAGCTGATCGATCACTGCAGTAATCTATTCTTGTGTAGCGGCCTTTGACTCATAATTTCGCCTTTATTTTCATTATTATATCATATTATATTATTATGTCAGCAACAATAAATACATAAAGCGCATTGAGTCAGAGCTTCAAAGTCTTACCCGTGTGTGTGTTCGTCTGTCTGCAGGACACGAAGCAGTTTGACCCGTTCCAGGAGTGGACAGACGGTTACGTTCGGTACATTTACAGCGGTGAGAAACTTTTTCGTGTTGCTAAGATTTTTTTTTAATTTTTGTTTATTTAAATTCTGTCCAAACATAAAAGACATGACGTGAAGATTTATGAGCCTGTAGGTTGATTCCCACTCAGCTTTAATCATTTTTAAACTTTATTTGACCTTCTCAGTCATTTTCTTTTAGGGAGCATGATTACATGTCAAAATATATATGTACAAGTTATTATTGTGAAATTGTTTTAAAATGTCATAAACATGCTGCAGTGTTTGGGTAATTACTCAAAACATAATAAAAGGAGTTTGTTCAGTCAGCTGAGTTAAGTGCATGTCTGACCAGAGAAAGAAAGTCACGACTTACCATGGCAACAAGTAAATAAAAAGCATTTTAGTTCAGTTTAGTTAATTTTTTTTACCAATATAGTCCCAAATTCATGAGTTTTATGTTGTAGAGTAGAGACCCACAGCAGGGTGTCCAACTGTCCTGCAGGTTTTAGATGTGTCCTTGATCAAACACAGCCGATTTAAATGGCTAGATGACCTCCTCAACATGTCTCGAAGTTCTCCAGAGGCCTAATCATGTGATTCAGGTGTGTTGACCCAGGGTGAGATCTGAAACCTGCCCTCAAGGCCTGGAGTTGGACACCGCATGCACTTTGGTGACAATGGGAAGGAAAAACTCCCTTTTAACAGGATGTTAAAAATGTGAGGATTTAACAGGGAGTCCAATGAAGGGAAGCCAAAACAGGAGAAATATCTCTCTCTTTCTAGTCCCTGTCAGGACTCTTGCTGCAGCATTTTGGATTAGCTGAAGGCTTTTCAGGGAGTTTTTTGGACATCCTGATAATAATGAATTACAGTCAGTCCAGCCTGGAAGTAATAAATGCATGAACTAGTTTTTCAGCATCACTCTGAGACAGGATATTTCTAACTTTTAGAGATGTTGCGCAAATGGAAGAAAGCAGTCTTACATATTTGTTTAATATGTGCGTTGAAGGACATGTCCTGGTCAAAAATGACTCCAAGGTTCCTCACAGCTTACTGGAGGCCAAGGTAATGCCATCCAGAGTAAGAATCTGGTTAGATACCATATTTCTAAGCTTTTCAGGGCCGAGTACAATAACCTCAGTTTTATCTGAATTAAGAAGCAGAAAGTTAGCGGCCATCCAGGTCTTTATGTCTTTAAGACATTCCTGCAGTTTAACTCATTGGTGTGTGTTATCTGGCTTCATGGACAGATAGAGCTGGGTGTCATCTGCATAGCAGTGTAAATGTATGCTATGTCTTCTAATGATGCTGCCTAAGGGAAGCATGTATAATGTAAACAGAATTGGTCCTAGCACTGAACCCTGTGGAACTCCATAATTAACCTCAGTGTGTGAAGAGGACTCTCCATTTACATGCACAAATTGGAGTCTATTAGATAGATATGATACAAACCACTGCAGCACAGTACCTGTAATACCTACAGCATGTTCTAATCGCTCTAATAGGATTTTATGGTCAACAGTATCGAACACTGCACTGAGGTCTAGCAGGACAAGCATTTTAAAATATACACCATGAAATGATTAAATAGGGAAATATAATTGCTCAGAGGTCTAAAAGTCACTGCTTGGTGGATTTTGTTTTGCAGCTGAAGATAAGAATGCTCAGAGACATCTGTCTGGCTGGGCAATGAGAAACACCAACAACCACAACTGTCAGATCTTGAAGAAATCGTGTTTAGGTGTGGTGGTTTGTTCTCGAGGCTGCACACTGTCTGATGGATCCAGACTTCAGCTTCGACCTGCCATCTGTGACAAAGCCCGGCAGAAGCAGCAGAGTAAGAAGAGCCTGGACCAAAGACTTCTCAGGACTTCCTCACCTGTGTTCACATTCACCTGACCAGTTTATTTTTCTTGTGTGTTTCAGAGAAGCTTTGTCCCAATTGTAATGCTGCTCTGGAGCTGCTCCCATGTCGTGGTCACAGTGGTTACCCTGTCACCAACTTCTGGAGAGTTGATGGAAAGGCCATCTTCTTCCAGGTTGATTAATAATAATGGATTGCATTTATATAACACTTTTCTAGGCACCCAAAGCGCTTACAATTCCACTATTTATTCACTCTCACATTCACACACTGGTGGAGGCAGCTACAGTTGTAGCCACAGCTGTCCTGGGGCAGACTGACATCGGCCCCTCTGACAATCACCAGTAGGTGAAGTGTCTTGCCCAGGGACACAACGACCAAGACTGTCCAAGCCGGGGCTTGAACCGGCAACCTTCCAATTGCAAGACAAACTGCCAACTCTTGAGCCACGATCGCCCCAATTTGATTATCAGCACAACTGGTTTTCTAGCTGTAACACTGTCAGTGAAAAAAAATTGTATTTAAAATATTTAAACATGAATAAATATTTAAATGATAGCTAATAAGAAATATTTGCTCATTTTGTGTTTGGTTTAAAACTAACTGCAACACATTTGAATAAAGCAGTTATCAAAGGGCATCATCGGGTCTTCGTCAACCCTCTGAACACTGCAGCCTTTTCGTGTCTACAAGTTTTTTCAGATTCTCCAAAATCTTTTGTCAAATGATGAAACACTGATGATAGAATCACAACGTTAATTGTGTTTATCTGCATTTTCAGTGAGAGAAATGTTTAATGTTTTCTGGGATTTCCTTACCTGGATGATTGAGAAGGATAAAAATCAATCTTTGGATTAAGGCTCGGATCACGCTAACGCTAACAATGTTCGGTTTGAACTGTTGAATTATCTATAGTTGCTGGTCCATCAGGTGTTTATTGCACAACCTTTACTGCAACTTTATTGAAATGTATTGCTGCATCTTTAAAAAGATTTAAGTTTTGATGTGTTGATTTTGTTCTGTTTATCATGAAACAATGAGTTCCATCATATTTTATTCGGTACAGTTTTAAACAGGTTTAAACTACAACTGTCAAAATTAGGGTACAAATCAAATTCAGTGTTTTTATTTATGTATCTATTTATCTAAATGACATTTTTGTGAATTTGATGTTACTATTATTGTCCTCCAGGCAAAAGGCGTTCATGATCATCCCAGACCAGAGTCCAAATCAGAGACTGAAGCCAGAAGGAGTTCAGTAAAGAGACGAGTCAACTCACCTCCATTCACACCAAAGAGACGACTCATTGAAACACAGGTTGCTACCAACAAGCCACAAACAATAACCACTGTTTGTTCACATCTCTGCTGTTTACTTATTGTTTCCCTGTAATTTTCCCTTTAGGCTCTTGGCCCTGCGCTCCTCTCCTGCGTTGAACCAACGGATAGGATTTCCTTCATTGAACCAAACTTCCCTCAGCACTACCCAGCATTCCAAAGCCCAGAAACCTACTACAACCCCCACAATGCACTGGGAGAGAGCACACCAACACTTCAGAAACCAGCCAATCCCAGGCTTTATATGAGCAGGCCCGGATATGACTTCCAAGGATACCTGACCTCACCTTCATATCCTGTGACCTCTGACCTTTGCGACCCTAGGTTAGCTTCAGATATTCCTCAAAACAGTTTCTGGTAGTGTAAAAATAATAAAATGCACCATAAATGACATGTAAAGTTTCACAGGTTTAAACCAGATTCTGGTTTCTGTGCAGAGTGGCCCCGGTCCTGGGTTCCTCGTCGTCCTCGTCTCCATCGTCAGCTCCTCTCTCCTCCTCCTCTACCTCCTTTGACCCCCAGACAAAGACCCCTTCTGGATGGAAAGAACTGCTGAAGAACTCTGCCCCCTACAGTGACAACCACCATTACTACAGCACAGAGTACCCTTGCCGTTATGCCAGCAACAACCCGGGTTCACCAGCAGCACTGCAGACCATCATCACAACGACAACCAAGGTGAGTAACCCTCAAAACCTGAGGTTTGTCTCAACTTGTAGAGCCTGCAGGAGACATGCGTAAGAGTCAGGTATGAGATACGTGTTTTGTAGTTGGACCTGCACATGGTTGACCTTGTGTATTTCACTGTAAACTGAAAACAATATGCTGACATAGAAGCTTGAATATCTGTTTCACCTGTAAATAATGTCGTTGTCACATTATCACCTCCTGTGTTCCTCCTCAGGTCTCCTATCAACCGTGTCCGAAGCCTCCTGCTGCCCTCCCTCCTTACCAGTCGTGTGCCAAACCCTCTGTCGGCCTGCCCTCTTACCAGCCCTGCACTCCCTCCAAACCTGCTGGCCTTCCTGGCTGCTCCTCCTTACTAGACGACCCCTCCTCATCCTCATACTCCACCGAGGTGAAGGTGACAGAGGATTCGGGTGGAGTCATCAAGTCTCTATCTTTCCAGCCTGAGCCTCTTCAGACCAAAACCGAACGGGCTGACGGCTACGACTACCGCTACTCGTACCCCAACACGTACCGCTATGACGACTACTGAGGGAGCAATACATCCATCACTGTTACCACTGCCGCAAACTTCCTATGGCTGCTAGTATCACTGGACCATTCAGGTACCAAGAGGATCAGTCTGAATCCAGGTTTTGGTCCCTGAGAGACTTTCTGGAAAAATTCACTTATCAAACGATGATCTTTTTCACGTCGGACGTCAGAGAATCACCTCTGGAGACGTTCAGGGGAGGAACTCAGGCAAATGGGAATATTTGCAACCAGTATCCTGTTACTGGGCTGGTGTTTCTGGAGCTCACCCTCTAGGTGCTTCTCACAAAAGAAAAACAGCATAAATCATTAAAATACTGTGTATATTATTTATTATCTTTCAACTTTCTGATATTTCCTGAAACAGGCTGACACGCTGATTCGTGGTAATCTCCAAAATCTAGTCAAGACACAACAAACTGTACAGCATATTTGAGCAGAAGGTTTTATGTTTTCACCACAAAACACAAATTTGTATTTCGATGGATAGTCTTCATATCAACTTTGGCCAAAGTTTCAAATAACAGAGCCTAACAGTCTAAAGCTAAGCTCACTGCTCTGAACACTTGGTTTCCTGCTGGGTTTTTTACACTCTGTATCTGTAATTATCATTAAATATCATATGACATCACATTGATGTCACAGAGATAGTCATAGATTGTATAACCTATATAGATCCCATCTCATCTACGTAAGATATAGAGTCACAGAATTAAACTGGCAGTGAGCACAGGAAGTCATCATGTCAGAATGAGAACATTTGGCTCCATCAGCAGACTGAGATTCATTACTGAATAACCAGCGCACACGTCGCACTGTTTGTTGGACTGGATTTCCTTTATTTCAAAACCCATTTAATCATGTTTCATATTTTTAAGAACATTTTATTAGTTTCACTGGAACAAATTTCTGTGAGCATCTGAAAACAGAGGGCTGCAACAAAGGGGCGATGTCAAAGATCAAAACTGAACTATAAGTGTCTCTGTGTGCCGAGGAAGACCCTGAGATGTGACTGAAAGCTGGATCCAAACATATATATATCCATAAATAAAGTAGAACTAAAACGTCTGAAAAGACTTTCACGTGAGAGACTTTTAAACACTCTGCAATCAGAAATCATAATGACCTGTATGCACTTGGAGTATTTATTCTATCTGTTAAAGCCACTGCCTTTTCCTGAACCTGGAAGAACAAACAACGTTTGACTGAGGAGATCTGAACCTGTTGAAGTGACACATTAAAGCAGCTGATCTTCACACTCTGCTGTTTCTCGATTCTTTCTGAAATCAAACCCACACTCATGTCTTTAACAGTATGAAACAAACTGGTGGAATGGCCCTTTAAGATCTGACAGGGGTTAAATGAGCAGGCTCTCAATCAGCAACACACAATATCGACTATAGGTACACATCATCAGTTATAATTTTATCATTATGATAAAAACAGATAAAAATGGTTCCTGTAGCTTTAGTGTGAGACTGTGCTAACTATAAAATGAAACAGATTGTGAATTTAATGAAGCAACGAGCTGATTCGGGGCAGAGTGAATCAGCTGTGGTGTTGCAGGGACTTTACAGGGCAGCAGAAACCCTCAGAAGGACTGTTGTGCAGAATTAAAACCGTATAAATAAAACTGTGTTTTCAAATGGATGCTGAGAAAGTGTAAAGCAGTGAGTGGACAACAGACCAAACGTGAGTAACCTTCATCAACAACAGACAAAATAACCCAGACAAGGATACTGTTGACTGACATGAGTGTGTAGTTAATACGTTGAATGGTTACCTAGGCAACCAGGGGTCTACCTGTACCAGAGTCGGTTCAAGGTTACACAGTTTTGTCACAATGACCTTGGAAAGGAGACAACACCATGAAGTTATCAGCGTCTGTCACACAGCAACTCACACCTGGCTCGTCCTCAGTACAGTTCACGCTAATTCAGGCACGCAGATGTTTTCAGGAATATTAATATTGAATGTTAGTGGGACTTTCTTTCTTTGAGTTTGCTGATCTCAGAGCTTATTTAGAGAAAAGTTTAACAGGATGACGAATTAACATCTAAAACTGCCACAGGTGTTTCCGAGTCACAGGTAAGCCTAGTGCACAGGTGAAGGCGGCCTTTAGTGAGTCCAGCTTCATTCAGCAACATGGATGTGAAGTCATCACTGAGACCACTGTCAGAAGGACCCCTTGTGGGCTCCGAGCCTCATAGTGAGCACCCTGCAGCACAGGATCAAAGCGCTGCTGTTTGGACATCTGCGGGTTTCGGTCTGAGTAATAAATGTTGTTTTGACAAGAGCATGTCGGGACAGGACTCACTGAGCTGTCCTCAGGGTGAACCTTTATGTCCTCGCAGACGCTCTTCGACCGCCTCATCTTCCTCTCTTTCACTACGATCCATTACGATCGCTCACTCGTTACCTGCCTTCAGTGTACGCTAACATCCATCAGTGGATGATTATGTTCAGAGGCTGGCAGGCGGCGGAGCCACCCAGTCTGATCCTCACACACACACACACTCACAGTAAAGTGTGCGTGTTAGTCCCCATAGGGAAATAGTTCCTCTGCATTTAACCCATTCACCCAGTGAAGCAGTGGGCAGCCACCAGTGCAGCGCCCGGGGAGCAGTGTGTAGGGACGGTACCTTGCTCAGGGGTACCTCAGGGTAGCCATTCAGTGGAGTCGAACCCCCGACCTTCCGATCATGGGGCCACCACTCTACCTACTGAGCTATCCCTGCCCACCTACTGAGCTATCCCTGCCCTACAATCCTGCAGATTACTCCATAACAAATCTGAAACTGAGATATCAAAACTCTGCTTCTGTCCAACAGCCTAAAAGAAAACATGCTCACATCATAATGCTGTACACAGCGAGGTTAGAGTTAAAACTATTCTCCAGTAGGATGACGACGATGATGATGATTTTCATATCAAAGAGATTTGAACGGTAAAATGTAAAGATATAAGATATAAATATAAGAGGATTTTCTGCACCTTAAGTACCAGGTGAGCAAACAATGTTTCCACAGGCGGGATCTTCTTCAAGCAGACACTAGGCCACGATCTTCATCTTCATCATCCTCACATGTGATAAATTTATGTGAAGGTGACGAGTCTGACAATACTCATCCAAATGCTCACATTACACACACACACACTCTCGGTGATACTTCTCCTCTTTGCCCCTTACCCTGAATAAACCAAATATCTGCACCCGCCAGCAGCCATGTTTGCTCTGTCACTGTCATCAGTTGGACCGGGATGCTGAAAAGGAACATCTTTTCAGACTTTATTGCTCAATAATCAGATGATGATTGATGGAGACAGGCAGGAAACATAAAATTTTTCCTCCTGTATGGTGCCAAAAAACCTTTGAAATCAGGAGGTTTGGCGCTTTCAGGTAGTTCAATGGTGTTCTAATCAATACTTGTTATTGATAAGTTACAGTAACCTGTGCTGAACGTATCCCTGCTGAGGAACACCGCATAGTTGAATTCCTGCACAAGAGGTTTCTGTCTCCTGACTCACCTGGTGCCTCACCTGTCTCTCACCTGTAAACCAGGTGAGGCTGAGTGCAGATAATCCCAGACTGTGTAATTCTATCCTTTCCCCAACAATCACCTCATCCTGTCTCCTTATCTCCTTATCTTCTTCTTTTTCTTCTTCCTCTCCGCTGATTTCCATCGCCGCTCTTTCACACGCAAATAATTTCATCCCTCCTCTTCTTCTTCTTCTTCTTCTTCTTCTACTTCTTCTCTGCTAAATAAATCATCGTCTGCTGACATGAGATACCTTTCCAAACAACGGCACATGTGCCCTCCACCCCTCCATCCACCGATCCCTCCACTCTGATGTGGCTTCACGCTAATGGATGTTTTCAATTTGATGCTACATGGTTGTGATTCCCGACAGAGAGACAGACAGATGGAGCGAGACAGAGGCAGGATGAGGAAAGACGTGTTAACGAGAAGAATAACCTTATTGTACAATAACGTCCAACGACTGTCTTAGATCCAGGGAAACCTGTCCAGACTTTAAAGTACATTAGAGGGTCGCTGTGGTTCACCTGCTCCATTTTAACTTTGTGTTCCCATTAAATCGACACCGTCCTCTGAGAGATTCAAGGAAACAACAAGTCTGGCTGAACAGGACCAGGTGTAGGATTAACTGCTTCTCTGGTCTCGTGTCGCTCACTTTAATTTTAAACTGTGTAATTTTAAAACTGTATATACTGTATATTCTTTGTATTTGTTATCTCACTCTTATTGCCTGTTCTTATTGTCAACGTTATGCTGCTTTGTTGTAAGTTAATTGCCCCTTGGGGATAAATAAAGTCTTTCTGATTCTGATTCTGTGTCATTCTTTCAACTCCAATAGCACGATGAGTGCAGCTGTTTTCCCAGGAGTCACAATAAAGTTTAATGTGCAGGCTTCCCGATGCATCCGTGTTCTGACTGGGATTTCTACACAGGAACGTCCAGCTCTGGATGTAAATGAACATATAGCAATGACATCTGTGAAGTCGGGCTAGTTCACTTATAATGATGTGATGATGGTGACACAGAACAACTATGCTGCACTCCGCTTATCTCTCACATCTCAAAGCTCACTATGAATATCACTGTGCTTGCATTTGGCGTCACACACACAACTTTCCTCTTTTACTAAGCAACCAAAGGCCAGGTGTTGCCATATCATTTTTTGGTTTGCTGCATTTTTCAGCCAATAGGAAGAGTGTGTCATGTTTTTTGCTCGTAAGCATCTTCTCTTTGAAAAGTCTTGTTTTTTCAACCTTTCCTTCCTGTAGCAAACATGGCAACAGTACTGAGGGAAACTCTGGTTTTACTTGGTCTATCAACACAATTTAAAAACTGGTGCATAATTTGAAGTCCATTCAAGTTGAAACAGATACTCGGTGAGGGTGTGTCTTGCTGCTTCGTCATTTAAAACCGATCCTGTGATTTGGACGCTCTGGCGCTTCTCTGGCTTCCTGAGGATTTGATTGTCCTGAAAAAAACTTGAGGGTGTTCAGAGGGCAGAGACAAACACCATCATATGACATGAAGAAGGTATGCCAAGAGATGGTCCATCCACACCAGAAGGTCAGTTATTAACATGAAGAACAAGTTCCTGTCTCAGGTAAACCAGGGCCATCACAGATGACCCCTTACCCCCTTCCCCACCACCCCGTCCCACACCTCCAGACTCACAACCTCTTCCCCTGGGGCGTACTATGCCCCCTCACCAATCTGAGCCGTGGTCTGACTAACCCTCATCACTCAGTACACTCACACATGGACTCTATACGCAGACCAAGTCCCTTTGCACTGCTTCCAAGCACTTTTCTCTCCAATCGCTCTAGACTGTGTATTCCCCTCTGTTTGCTATTATATAATGTAATACATATATATTTTCTTTACTTTGTGTGGAGCTTGCCAACTGTTTTGTTTTACATGTTCTATTCTATTCTATAACGTCTGCATCACCTCTGTTGCCTAACTGTGGATCCACCCCTGCTGCTGTGTGGGTTTAACATTAAAATGCCTCATTTTGCCGTCCAGTCTTTTCCGATCATTGGACCGTCTGCCTTCTGCATCAGCTTTCCTGTCTGTGTTAGTTACTGTTCTGATTTAGTGATGCTGTGGCGTCCATCTCTTTAGTTTGGCATGTGCATCAGCATTATATTAAACACTCTGTGTAGGTAATAATGGGAGAGGGCCACCAACACAGCCTTTAGCTGTAACAACAGTATGCAGATGACAAACAGAATATGAGCCTATTGATTTTAACGGTCGATGATGGTGATGGAGCGATCACCGAGTGTGAAGATTTGTTCTTGAAAATCCCAAGAAAGGACAGAAAATAAGAGTCTTTTCTGTCACAGAGGCAGATACAACCAGAAACAGGTCAAAGACGGAGAAGCAGAGCTGAGGAGAGAAATCCATCTGAATCCAAACCAACGTACAGTTTCAAGGATTACTGTGATGGAGCTGGAAAAGAAGAAGATGGAGGTGTAGCTGATGATGGTGGAACGACGGAGGGTGATGATGGAGGTGGCCCCTATAAACAGTCGTCTGCTGCAGAAAGAAGTGAAAATCGTATCAGCTTCAAAGGCAAAAAAGCAAAAAACAAAGATGAAAGATAAAAACTATCAAAGCAGACGAATGCAGCGCTCCTCGTTTACAGTTTACAGCACACATGTGGGCTGTTGCCATGTTTCCTGTGTTGCCTGTAGTGTTGCCATGTGCCTGTGGTGGAACTGTTGCCTACGGTTTCTTGGCTGTTGTTGGTGCCGTGAGAAGTCTTATCGGTGGAGGACGACTCACAAATGTACTGTCTTCTTAAAAAAGGCGTGACAGTGCCGGTCCGATGTGTATCTGCCTGCGCTGTGATAGCATCGCTCGGCCTCATGATGACTGAAGCTCCTGGAAAAGAATCAGGATATTCTGAGTCAAACGCAGATAAGAAGATTGCAGCAGGATCCTTCTGAGAGCGGCTTTCATGTCTCTTGTTGCGTCACGTGATGTAGGAAATCTTCTCTTTATCCATAGTGAACATGGTTGCATCTCCGGTGCTTCTTTGTTTAACGGTTCACATTTTTTGATTTATATGAACAAAGTGGATGATTACTGAATGATCTCTCTCAGAGAAAGGCTGATGAGCGTGGTCATTTGGGATGCCTCCTGGGTGACGTGGTGTTTTCTGTGGGAGACTCTGAAGCAAACAGAGGACATGCTGGGGAGACTGTAACTTGACTGGTTTGGGAACACCTCGTGTCCCCACAGAAGAACTGGAGGAGTTGGCTACAAGAGTGAGTCACTGATCAGACTGCTGCCCTGAGATCCCGATAAGAGGTCGACTATGGATGGACGCAACATGTCTGTAAATATTTGAATTCGCCACTGAAAAGTCAGATTCAACAAAGATTGATCCAAATGTGATTTTCTCTTCCTACAGTTGTAATCAGACAATCAGCATGTTTTACCTGTCCATTAAGGTGTGAGCATTGCATGCTGGGAAATGTCCTGTGATTGTTTATTTGAAACCAGTCGTACCTGTTGCTTTTTAATCTGTGCTTGTCCTCTATCTTCTCCCTCCATCCGTCTGTCTTTATCTTTTTATCTTCTCGCTGTCAAGACTCACAGAAACATCACGTAGGCATGAAGGCTGCTCGCCAGCAGCAACACAGCAACATAGCAACATGCTGGTAGCTTTGAAGTGGCTTCAAAACAAACAACTATTTCTGAAGGTTGAACAAAATGAGCTGCAACACAACATAAACTAGACAGAGAAAAGTGCAAGGCCAATGGAAGCAACATAAACTATAGTGAGAGCACAGAGCAATGCAGAGTTACCTACTGAATAAGAATCACGACATCATCAGAAAGCATTTGTGCAAAAAAAAGACAGATTTGCAACAACAGAAAGCAGCAACAAAGAATTCTGTTCAACAGCAACTTTAGCAACAAGCAGCAGGAGCAATGGTGCTCGAGGAAAGAACTGCAACAGTGGGAGCAACTTTAGAAGTGATAGTGACAACAAACAACTCCAAGTTGTGTGAATGTGTCACCACATAATTAATAAAGTATTCTGACCAAAGCAACAACAGAGAGTGGCAAACACAGCAGCTCAATAAAACAACTATAGCAACAGAAGAAAGGAAAAAACAGGCAACAGGAGCAGCAGAGTAAAGTTTTCAGTCATGCTGCAAAGTCAGTCATCCAGGTAAGTAAATCCCAAAGGTTGGGTCCTGTTCACCTGCATGTAGGGAGAAACGCTTCGTCACTCATCGTTATCAATTCTTCAGTGTGGATGCTACGTCCAGATGAACAGAGTCAGTTTGGGATTGCTGTCAGTCTTGCTGCTTTTGTAGCTGTCAGATTAAAGTCAGCGTCTGTCTGTTGACACCCGAGTGCAGACTAAACACAGGTAACCCAGGTGGGCAGACGGCCCAGGTTCAGCCAGAGGACGGACAGTGAAGAGCAATTCAATGATTTACACAACGATTTCTAACTGTGTGTACAGGACCAGGTTCAGGTTCAGGTTCAGGACAGTGCGAGTTCGGCACTGACAGCAGAACAGGAAGTGTTTGTGGTTGAATGAAGAAGAATGAAGTCGGTTTATGCTGAAGTTTATCTTTGAAGAGAAGAAGAAGGAGACTGACAGGACGAGTCAAGACCTGAGGGAGCAATCAGATAATGTGGCGTCACAGCTATGAACCGAAACATTTCTGAAGTTAGTGACTCACACACACGCACACACACACGCACACACACACACACACACACACACACAGACACACAGCACAGCAACAGACACACAGACAACACACACACACACACAGCAACGACACACAACACACAGCAACACACACACACACACACACACACACACACAGACACAGACACACACACAGACACACACACACCCCCACACACACACACACACACACACACACACACACACACACACACACACACAGACACACAACAAAACAAACGACACACAGACACACAAACACACACACAGACACACACGCACACAGACACACACGCAAAAGCTGTGATATCTGAACTTGTGTTTCAAACATAAACCTGGCATTAAGAGCGAGGATGCCTGGCTTTCTTCTCATGTGGTGCTTGGTCCTGTGGCAGACTTTGATTTAGTTTGAGTGAGAAACAGATTAGGAGATTTAATCCAGATTGCGTAAACAGAGATAGAAACATTCGAGAGATTAGACCCAGGAGGGCATGAGGGAGCAAACTCAAACACATCTGAGGAATCAGTTCTGACAGGTGAGCTGTCATTCACAGATACTTGTGTCTATTTTTTTTTTACGGGTTGTACGGAAGCCCCAAACGCAATTTCATTGTTCTTTGACAATGACAATAAAATAAATACTTGACTTGACTACTTGACTATAACTGTGATTTAAGGAGACATTTAGAGAAGGTAAAGGCTTCTGTCAATCAGAGATATTAATATGTTTGTGTGTGAGCATCAGGAGTCATACTTCTGAGGCATTACAGTTTTTGCCCGTTGCTTGAACACATTTTGCAAAACTTCGCTCATTGTGCCAAAACTCTAAACACAAGTAAACATGACACAACACTGGGAAATATACCATTCACATCTGTGCCAAATTGAAACTCTAATCTCAAAACCTAAACTCTGCTGTCAAATCCTAACATTCCTTTGTCAAAATGTAACTCTGTTGTCAAAGTGACACATACTTGCATCATATGCAAACACTTACAGATCAGGGGGAACACACTAGTCTACTTTATATAAAACACTGCAGTCTTTGATGTTCATTGTTTATTCAGAAGGCATATTTTCAGGAGACACATTTTCAAACAACCAAAAAAGCCAATAGGACTCAATATTGTACATTGCAGTACCATGAATTCAGATAAAGCAAAAAAAAATTAAATAAAATAAAATAACACAATACAGTAATAGAAAAAACACCATACTGTAAACACAAAAAATCATGACAATTGTGCATACGTGGGCTCATGGATCCCGCCGTCTTTTGGGGTCTGGCCACAGGACCTCATCGACATCGCAAGCAATGTCTTCTCCTGCTAGGCACCAGGGAAAATATCCTCTTGCATGTCGAAACCATCCATGGATTGCTGTCACCTGAATGTCGCCGCAGGCCTGTTCCATTGCCTGCAGAAGAGGCATGCGGGCATGTGGTTGGCGGTCATATACACGCCATCTCCAAGCC